AAGAGGTGACTCCCAGCCTGGCCCAGGGCAGGAGGCTCAGCAAGGCTGAGAGAGAGGAACAAGGGCACTGGGTCCAGGGACGTGAGCCCCAGAGGAGGCTGGGGGTGGGGGGAGCCTGGGAAGGCTGGGAGTCCTGGGGGACATGCTGAACCCTAGGGGAGGCTGGGGATGGGGGAGCCTGGGAGTCTTGGGGGGCAAGCTGAATCCCAGGGGCAGCTGGGGAGGGGCTGGGAGTCCTGGAGGGCAAGCTGAGCCCCAGGGGAGGCTGGGGGGACTGGAGTCCTGCGGGCATTATACCTGGAGGTCTAGCTAGCTGCGGCTTTCCTGGGGGGCTCTCCCAGCCCCTACTTCCTCTATCCCAACCCCTGTGTGGGAGAGGGCAGGGCCTTAGCTGGCTGCACCAGGGCACAGCCTGAAGCTTCAGGTGGGAGCCAGCTCCCTAGCCAGGCTGCCTCGGTTTCCCCATGGGGAAAGAGCTGGAGAGTGCTGGCAGGGACACAGGCCTGGTCATGGCTTCTGAGGACACCTCATTAATGACCAGCATTTTCTGGGGAGCCCAGGTCCAGGCAGGCCACTCCTGACTCCCCACTGTGCCCGTCCCGGCCACAGGCACTTCCAGACTGGAGAAGGGTACATGATCTGGTCCCCAGAGCAGGGCCTGAGGGTCCCCTGACTGATGGGCAGGGCCAGGCAGAGCCAGCATACCACTGCACAGGCTCGGGCCCTGTGGAGCCTAGAGAGGCCCACCTGGGTACAGGGCTCTGCCCCTCCCGCTCTGGGCCTCAGAGTCCCTGTCTATAAAGCGAGAATGTGCCCTACAGCATGGGCAATGGCAGGGGAGTGGTCAGGGGGTGACAGCTGGGGTGCTGGCACTTCTCTCCCCTCCCCCACTACAGAGCTGTAACTCACTGCTGCACTTGGCTGTGGTCACTACCTCCACAGACGGCATCCTCAGACCCCACAGCCCCTAGCTGTGGTGCCTATCCTGTTCCGCAGCCCCCAAGTGCCTGTCCTGCCCGACTCTGCCTGCAGGGGGCACCAGCCCCACATAAATGGGGAGGAGGGGACTCAGTGGCTGTCCCCACATCCTATGGCCTTGGGAAATGCCCTTGGTGACACCACCAGAGAGGAGATGGCACCAGATGTGCCCCTGTGAGGGCTTCTGGGGGGTGGGGAGGTCAGGCCAAGCCAGGGTTTGCAGGTGCAGGGCAGGGCCAGGACCCAGGGGCCAGCTCCACCCCTGGGAAGGAGTTGGGGTTCCCTGGTGACAGGAAGACTGGGTATGAAAGCAGACACAGACATTAGAGGCCTGGGTGTCAACCCTGCACTTCGAGGACTCCCCTTCACACAGGGCTACCTGCCTCCACACAAGAAGGCTAGGGGTGGAGGGTGTGTCCAGTGAAGGACCAGGGACCACCAGGGGGCAGCCTCGTTACGTAGGCTGGCTGGCAGGAGAGGGCCTTCTGCCCAGACAGGCTCTGGGATGGGAAGCTGGGGGACATCAGGGACCTGGCACAGGTGACACAGGAGGGAAGATGGGTGGGGACGGCCTGCCCTGGGGGTTCTGATCTGCAGGTCTCCTACCAAAGCCACCCTGCACCAAAGCCACTGGTCTTGCTCCTTAAGCTGGACCAGAGGAGAAGTCTCAAGAGGCTGGGGGGCAAGCCAGCGCAGGGGTCTGTGGAGGCAGTAGGGGGACCCTGCAGGGTGGGGTCACTGGGCAGCCCCAAGAGGAACCCCAGGCCCTCTGCGCCCCCACCTTCTCCTGCGACACCATGGGTCCCACCACACAGGGGCCAGGGTCAACCACACAGGGTCATCATTCTCCCATTGGCTTCCGGGGCTCCCATCTGGGTGGGTGGAGGCCCAAGCAGGAGGGACATGGGGACCTTGGAAAGGGCCTGCCCTGCAGCCCTAGCCCCCACCCTGCCTTGGTGCTTGCCAGACAACTGGGCAGCGACCCTGCCCCACGCTGCATGAAGTAGGTCCAGGTCGGCAGCAACGCAGCACAGAGCCCCCCACCCCCGCCAGCTGCTGGCCAGGTGCCCTGGGTGTGGCCAGGCTGCCGCAGTACTGACCCACAGCTGGAGGGCTTGCCCCTTCCCCACCCCACCTGCCCTCCCAGAAGCAGACACACTCATGTCCAGGAACTAGCCCGCAGTGCTGGGACAGACAGACAGACAAAGTGCCCCAGGCACCCACCTTACAGCCAGAGGCTCTGATGGAGGGGTGTTGACCATTCCTGGGGTCACTCTAGGGGCACACCCTTCCTTGTCCAGTATCAGGGAGCCCTGTAGACTGATCTCTGACCATATTCTGACCCTTACCAAGTCCCCAAAAGCAGGATCCTGCCATAGCTACTACCAAGCCAGCCACACTGCAGCCACACCAGGGACCCAGACCCAGCCCAGTCTGGCAGCCCCCGACCAAGGCCAACTGCCCTTCCAGCTGGGCTGGGCTCCCCCAGAACAGGCAGAGGGGGCCTGGTGGTGTAGGGTCTCTCTGCCCACAGACGCGCGGCCCTGCTCGGACATAGCTGCACCTCCGCAGACGGCCGCCTCTTGGGACAAGACAAAGTCCCAGAGGGTTCCAGGCAGGGGCCAGAGACAGACAGCGACAGGCACAGCGAGCGGCAGAAACGAGAGGGCGCACGGGGTGACGGAAACCCGGGAGGCAGTGAGGCGAGGGAGAGAGGGACAGAGGGAGGGACAGAGGAGACCCCGACAAGCGAGAAGCCAGGCACCGGCAGAGCCGG